CATAACAATTTTTTCACGTATCAATCCTAACCCCCACCTGACTACGTCATTCAAAAATTACGTTACTACGACGTCACAGTGACGTAATGGAGCCCTTCAAACCATACGAACTGCCATCCAAGACGCGCAGACGACCACCCGAAATCGAACAGCTATTTCTCTCGTTTTCTCGTCACTACTATCCCAATAGGAAGGAGATCGGTGACGTTAGTCAGTTCTTCATCGTCGGCGCCGATGCCATTTCGGGCTATCGTACGTATATTTGGCAAGCTTTATGACGTGATTGTGATGTCGTAGTGACGTAATTTTTGGATGGTGTAGTCAGATGGGGAATAGAATTGACATATCAGAAAATTGTCATGCTACGCCCTACTAGAAGTACGTTAGGTACGAAACTACACGAGACCCGTTTTTACTAATGTTCTTACTTTGATCTTTAGCGCGGGCATTGTACAAACGATCCCGGTATCTTACTAAACCAAGCCGTCTCGCTAATCAATTTCATGCAAACAACATATTGATAAAATAATAGTCGATAACTATACACGGTTGGGTGACAGTGTGCTACATGAAAAAAAAGAACGTCCCTGGGTGGGCTTGAACCACCAACCTTTCGGTTAACAGCCGAACGCGCTAACCGATTGCGCCACAGAGACCGCACAAACAAACGTTCTTTGTAAAATAAAAACTCGATTATATCGACAACAGTAAACATTTGTTTACTCAATGGTTTGATCAATATTGATCGAGCATAACTCTTTGCTTAACAGTAAAAACCTAAGCGACATGACTGCGATTGTTGATAGATAGATAGAAGTTTATTCTTCACCCAGTCATTAACCAACAAATCAAACACAAACAAGAACATTCAATAAGTAAAAGAAGAATAAATCGACTAACAACGGAATTGATAGGAGGTTGGAAGGACCATACGGTCACTAAAGCGAAAAAACTCTCCTGGCATAAAAAAGGTTGACAGATTACATTTTATATTATACCAATTATAAAACATTTTAGCTTGTTGCAAGTAACAATTGAGCAACAAGAGTAATGTGACACATATTGAGACGAATTTGAAATAGAAGCGGCAAGAAGAAGCGTTTAATTTTATATCACACAAAATAAAAACGTACACGTTGAAAAGTTATGAATCACTACTTTTTCAGAAAAGACTGGAAATACTTCTTGGAAAAAACATTAAAACTTAAAGTTCTTTTAGGTTTTCGTTAATATCGTTCCAAATTCTCACTCCCTGGTACTTTATGGAATTTTGGGCCCGCGAGGATGAAAATCGTGGTACAAATAATCTTCCCTTTCGAGATGAACGAGTACCATATGTATGTGCATTTTTTGTTGTAACAAAATATTGTTGTATTATGCGAGGGGCAGTGCTATTTACCGCTTGAGCCTTCCCATAAACCTCATTGCTGGGTCATTTCTGAGCAGACTTACAACTTGAAAGTGTCACAATTTATTGAAACCATATGGGATTGTTGTGACACATTACACGTTGACAATTTCCGACTAACGCGAGAATTTAAGCACTTCAAGTTAAAACCACCCGGAAAAATATATAAGGTAGTGAATTTCACGGAACAGAAGTTCTTGGAAAAAACGTCACGCCCACAAACTACTTTGTCGAGAGCAGTAATTCAATTTTTTTTTCATGCTCTCTTCTAAATGTTAATTTCCCTCTCTCAACACATAAACCTCTCCTCTACAAACGCACTCACACCCATTTTTCTTTTTTTTTTGAAAATCAGATACGAGTTCCACATAACATGGAGTTCTTCAAAAGAAAAAAAACAGGACGCGCACGCGCTCTTTACTTTTGACGACTAATCCCATGTAACATAGGGTCTAGAACAGGGATGGGTAAGGTTTTTGGACCAGGGGTAAAAATTTTGCCCACCTAGACTGCGGGCCATGTAAGTGTGACGTGAAAAGTTACATTTTTATGAACAATATTCGGGGCTCCCGAAGTATGCGAACCAAGATGGCGGACATCGGAATGTAATATGTGTACTAGGTTAGGGTTAGGCCATACTTTTAGGTATAAATAATACTGGAGGCTCTTGGCTAGTCTTCGAACTGATAATAGGACTAAAATAAGGAAAATTGGACAAAAAATTATCGCCTAACCCTACCCTGTTACCAATGTTACGTTCCGATGTCCGCCATCTTGGTTCGCATACTTCGGGAGCACCCAATATTCACATTGTTACAAAAGCAAAACTGGAGAATAATAGCCTCGTGCCATAATAAAATTTAGTCGCGATCTCAACAAATTCCTTGATCTATTTTAGCTAATACATCAAAATTTGGTTTTGGCAGCATCAGGCGGGCCAGATTGAATTACCCAACGGGCCGGATTGGCCCGCGTGCTGTAGTTTGCTCATGTCAGTTCTAAAAGAAGGAGTGTATTACGCTCACGCACACACACTTTTCGAAAACAGATAGGAATGTGTACAATTCAGGGGGAATTTTCCCAGTATTTTTAACAGTGTACACAATATATATCTCACAGTTTTTTGAAGTCGGCTTCAAAAGATAAGTAGCTGGTTTTTGTCACTAATTATTTTTTAATTCTGCTAGTTCGTTGTATTAAGTTATATAGTGCTTGAATTAATATTTAAATGCCATCTGATAAGTATGTAAAACATAATATGTAAAAAAAGAATATGGAAAACAAAACACAATCCATGGAAAATGATTGCGAGTGACAGATATGATATGTGGAACATAACATGAAGTTTTTGTGCGCACGTCCTCCTTATTGTTGATATACGAGCCCTCTCACGCGCTCTCTTTTTCAGCAAAAATAAAACAGATTTTCGTCAATTTCTCAAACACTATTGAAGTTTGGAAAAGTTAATTTTCCGTGTTTTCTTAACAGTGTACACAATACATATCTGAGAGTTTTTTGAAGTCAGCTTTAAAAGATAAGTAGTTGGTTTTTGTCACCTGTAACATTTAAACAGGTGTCAGCAATTAGCAATCACCCGAAACGGCTTTTCGATAGGAATTCATCTTATAGTCACGGATTTATGTTTATTCACCAGACGGAATCCTGCCACCTATTTGATGATATACGGACATTGATTTCAAATTTATTTTGCTGCCAAAATAAACCCCGTTACCAAAATAAACTACAACAGCTCATGTTTTCTTTAAGCCAAATTGATTCAATTTAGGTTCATGACCTCGTCAACGTTGACGGATGCGTGGAGTCCTTACACGCAATTTTGTTTATCGAAGTCACGTGACCAACCACGTGACGCATTTTATATATAAAAAAAAATAGGATTCTGCAGGTTATAAATCTCGGGTTTGTATTGACACTCTCTGAAGTATCTTGTACCAGTCGGCATTTAATTACGCGTAATGCACTACTTTAATTTTAAAATAGGTTCTGGATACTTGTTCAGGTCTCTTTATTGACATAACACTGGTGTACCACCGTGATTTTAAGTAGTTTTAGTAGCCCTGTGTTGTTCAGGCCTTTCATTCCTATTTCGGCGCTCCGGAAGTATGTGTTTCAATATGGAGGTAACTAATTTTGTTCGCATACTTTACATCAAGTTGTGTGAAGATACTGAAACCTTTGGGCAGGGGGTATATTTACTTAGCTAACACAGACAGTCCCCGAACTCGAAATAGAACTTAAATAAGGGAAATCGGAATAAAGTTATGTCATAATCTTAACCTGGTATACACACTACGGCAGTACCCTTATTTCTGAGTGTGCGTGACCTTGTTTTCAGTGAATTATCTTGAAAATTTAAAAAATGAATCTTCAAGTCAAGGATCAATCGTCGTTCATTGGTCTATAATGCATAATTCTATACAGTTCCAGTATCTCTTGGTTCTCAGTTGTTATGGTCATGGGCTAGTTTACTTCTGAAGGAGTGCATCTTAAAGACAACCATAAAAAGTCACTAAACGCTGACAATCTTTTTTGTAATGGTTCTAGTTAATCAGTTTACTCATCAATAACTGTCAATCACGTGGTGTATGTTTACTAAACGTGTCTTTCTTGTTATCTTATCAACTCGGCTGCAAGTTTTATCAGCTTTTGAGTTTGCTGACACCTTAATGTGGCGCAATCGCTTTGATAAGTAAAGTGTTATTGGGGTCAGGTGTGGCTATTGGTTGCATTCTCGCAAACGGGATTTTTCCCGCTAAAAACGTTCGCGCAAATGGCGTTGCGAAAGATGACATTGACGGAAAATATACTTCTGTAACGAATTTCTCGTAAATGCTCCTTCTCGCAAAACTAGATTCGCGAAAAAATCATTTTCCATAAAATTCGCCGAAATATGTTTTTTCACGAAACGCTATTCGCGCAAATAGCCTTCCTGCAAGACGGCTTTCGTCTAAACATCATTCCACACACACATAACATACCCGCAAATGTTCTTTTCTCCCTCAAACAACATTTGTGCAAAAAACTTTCACGCAAAACAAAATTCTCGCAAATGTCCGTGTTTACTAAACGTGTCTTTATCGTTTACTTTTCAACTCGGCTGCAAGTTTTATCAACTTTTAAGTTTACTTACACTTTAATGTGGCGCAATCGCTTTGATAAGTAAAGTGTTATTAGGGGTCAGGTGTTATTATATTAGTTGTATTCTCGCAAACTAACCCGCTTAAAAGATTCGCGCAAATGGCGTTTACTGGAATGACATTGACGGTAAATATACTTCTGTAGCGAATTCATCAATTTTTGCGAGGAGTTTATCTTCTGGGAAACCCCGTTTCGAAATGTAACCGTTAATGATCTAGTATTTAAACTTGCGTTTACCCTATTGTGTTAGTCGCATGTGTGCATACATATTCCTTTTTCGTGAACTTTTTTTGATGAATCTCTCTCAATTTTTCCATATTACCAATACGGATAATATACTATGAATTTTTATTTTGTGCCGGAACTTTTTCTGTTTTAAATTTTAGCTGTCTTTACTCCAATAAAGGAAATTATGTGTAATTTATCATTTCAGGGAGCGTCATCTATCAGAATCGCAGACAAACTATTGTTGAACTCTCCTTCTCAATGAAATACGCTCTGCATGAATATGAAAATATAACGGAGGCTAAATTGAAGGTGCAACTCTTGCAGTAATAAATACCTCTCAGTTAAATCATAAATTTTGATGTTGTACGCACTTTTCTGTGAAGATGGGTGTTAAACAACACTAAACACAATTCGCGTAAATGGTTTCGCAAAAATGACACCATAATTCGCGCAAACAGCATTTGCGCAAGTAACTCTATTCACACTATTCAGATTCCTGCTCCTTATCACGCGGATTCAACCAAACAAGAGCTTTGGCAATGGTTTGTGGATAACGGATTGATGGCGTACCCACAATATAAATATGAGGTTTATTACGTCACTGATGACGTCATGAAGAAAATGAAAATCAAAAGTATGACGTGGAAAAAAGACAATACAGGTTTGATCTAAGTTTAAATATTTGGATTTCCTCAAACAAAATGTTAATAAAAAAATATAAATATATAAATGGGCAAGAAGGTTAACACGTCATATAAAAAAAGTTCTCAGTGTTTTTCTCATAACAACCAGAATAATAACAACAAAAATTTATCTAAACGATGTCCACCTCGTGCCCAAAATTCGAAGTCGACGTTACAAATTGTCAAATTTTATTTTTAGACTTGGACAAGGTGGACGAACAAATCGCCATTAGTCTTGGATCATCAATTACTGTAAAGCACTACATGCCAAGCATGAAAAGCAAACAAAATACATTATCCATCGACATAAAACCTATTGTCCAAAAATGGCGAACAAACTTCTTCAAAATCAAGAAACGAACTTTAAGTAAAGCGATTTTGGTTGTTACCATGGAAACAGAATCGATTTTGACTAAACAATGCAAACAAATGATGGTTGCCAACTCTAGAATCTTACTGGTTTCATTAGATCGGCGACAATGTCCTATGCCTATGACGTCATATTCAAACGAAAATGAAGTTTTCGTAGAAACGAATGACGTGATAGTTGAGGATTCCAATATAAAACGACGCAAAAGATCTGTGACAGACGACAAAGCATCGAAAAGGCGTAAAACGAAAAGTCGCAAAAAATCGAAAAATGATCAAAAATCTTTATTTTGGAATGGTCGTCAAAACGCTAAATCGTCTCACACACCTGACCTCGTCCGCGGGAGATCTTTACATACTGGACACTCGAGGGCAGTACGGAGCACAATTTGTCGTCGCTACCCCATGCACGTTAGCTTCGATGATGTAGGTTGGGGGAAATGGATAATTGCTCCAAGAGGATATCAGGCGCACCGATGCGAAGGGGAATGCCCTTTTCCCCTTGGGGGGAGATTAAATGGCACGAACCACGCTGTTCTGATGACAATGATGCATTCTGTGGAACCATGGAGTTCACCACAACCGTGTTGTGTCCCCACTGTGCTATCTCCCGTCTCCCTCCTGTATTTCGATACGTCCGGCAACGTTGTGCTCAGACAATATGAGGATATGGTAGTGAATGCGTGTGGATGCCGCTAAGCCACGGATTCTTCCGTTATATTACGCAGAAGCGTTACCATGGAGATTTGTGGGTTATTGGAATTTCTTTGCTAGTTTTCCTACATTTTCAAAGACAATATGAGGCAATGGTGGTGAATGCTTGTGGTTGCCGCTGAGTCCCGAACCGTTTCATTATGACTCATTTATTGACTACATAAGCAGTGGCGTTACCATGGGGATTTGATAAAGACCGAATTCTTCTGCTGGTTTTCTACATTTCCAAAACTATGTGGAGAGCAAAATATCATTAGATCAATATTTCTTGACTTCCCAAACTTTGATTGACGTTGATCCACGAACCTTCTCATTATAATATTTGTTTAAACTACACAATGTGTGTCAAGAGCAGATTAATTTAGGTAATAATAACTATCAATGGCTGCTTAATTCATTTTCGGACTGAAGCCTCAAATTGGTTCTTGTGGTGCGCAAACTTTTACAATCATTTCCTGTATTTAGTAATGCCAGACATTTACCGCATCAGTTTTTGATTACTTGTGTTTGTTAATAAACTTGTTTGCACTGCACTAAGCTGGGGTAATGAATGTAGCTGTTCAGCGCTTGTCTTAGGGGCGTACCCATTTTCCGATCCGCAGCAGTCCACCTTTGAAATGTAATGATAAGCCCCGCCGAACCAAAGCACGATAAAGGCACAACTTCAGGTACTCCCGTAGTATGTGTACCAGGTTAGGCCATAATTTAGTACTATTACGAGTTCGGGGACTATCCAAGTGACTCTCGTAGTATTTGTACTTGGAATTATGGCCTAACTCTAACCTGGTACACATACTACGTTCCGATGTCCGCCATCTTGGTTCACATACTACGGGAGTACCAAATTTGTCGTGTGCCACGTTTTGGCTGGTTCTGGGAGAGAGTCGATTTGCATTTTTGTAAGAAAGATATCTGTTGTGTCGCTCTAAGTTGTTTTATCTGCTGTTTGATTAAGAATAAAATCGCAGTCAAACCTTGAGATCTTTTGAATTTAAGCGTAGTTTATGACGTTTTAAAAAGCAGTGGTTCTTAAAGGGGCGTGGACAATTTTTGAGGAGGTGTAAAGCTAATTAAAAACAATTAGAGAAAAATGTTAGATTTGATCTTGCCCACGTTATTTTGGTTTTTCCATTTTATTTTTATTTTGGATATTCATGTGTTTTTGAATGAAACATACTTTCGCCTTACTATCTGTTATTTGTAGCCTATTGTTAGCTACCGGTAGTTATTTTTGAGGTGGGGCGCGAGACTTGACAATTTCCAAAAATGGGGCGCGACTTAAAAAGTTTTAGAACCACTGTTTTAAAGAATAAAGAGAAAAAGCTGCGACTCAAGGCCACCGGGTTATCTAGAAATAACTCAAATTCTGGCGGTGTGAGCCAGGTGCATGCGGTTACGCATACTTATCGAAACACCCTAATTATATCCGAAGTTGTGGGCTATCTGACAATTTTAGAAATGATGCAAAAACATGGATTTAAATTAGCGCTAATTCGCGCGAAAATGTAAAAGGTCGGAAATTTTAAGCGGCCGCTGGTTTTTGTTGTGGAATTTTAGGTTTAAATCAGCAAAAAATGCGATTTTAAGTATTTTTCGAAACAAAAACCATTATGAGGTATATGATTTGTTCGAAAAATGGCAAAAAAACGATTTTAATTTTTGTGAAAGAAATACATAAGTTGGCATATGTTATGGTTTCTAATAAGAGAAATGGTGAGGTTTTAATTGTTTTTGAAATGTTTTAGGTTAAAAAAATCATGTTTTTTAATTTTTTTGCTTGAAGATGGAATATGCTCAATGTAAAAAAGCAAAAAAGTGATTTTATTAATTTTTGGGAAAAAAATCATAATGTGAATATTGAGGTATATATTTTGGGTTAAATAACATATTTTTCGATTTTTTTTCACCTCAAAGTTGAAACACGATTTGGTCTTTTAGAGCAAAAATGTGTTTAATTTTTTCTGGGAGAAAAAACTCGGACCTCATTATGGGAATCGGACCTCAAACTCCTCATTATGGGAATATGGTCATAGATATTTTGGGTTAAAAACATATTTTGCGATATTTTTCTCCTTAAAGTTGAAACACGATTTGGCATGATAAAGCGAAAAATGCGAAAAAAAATTATTATGACGTTGTGTTATGTTTTGAGCTAAAAAACGCAAAAATGCGATTTTAACAATTTTTTTGAAAAAAATACAAACGGTATTTGAATATGATGGTATATATTTTGGGTTTAAAAATATTTTAGAGTTTCCGCTCTCAAAAGTGTCTAATAAAATTGGAATATGAGTTGGTCCAAATTCATCCAAAATGAGATTTTTTTTTCGCAAAAAAACTCATTACATGAAATATATTTTGTGCTAAAAAAACATATTTCCAATTTTTTCACTCAAAGTTTTTCTTGCTGATCTTTTAATTGGATTCTTAGCACTTATGCTAACCGCTTGCTTGAAATTTTACACAATATAAGAGCAATTAGCCAGCGGTTACTGTCAAAAATTGAAGATTGAAAAGTTTTTGATGCGATGCTGTAAATCCGGGCTAGTCACGAGAACCGAAAAGGATTATTTAAAATCTGATAAAATTTGTACCGTGCCATGTAAGGCCTGTACATAAATCGAATCTACAAGGTTTGGACCATCTCCAACCGATGTGTAAATAAAAATTGCTTAATATATCCTTGAGAACCGCAAACATTTGTAAATACATATTATTCAAAAGTTGTGCCGTGCCATGTAAGGCACATACCTAAATTGAATATACAAGATTTGGGCCATCCCTGTCCGTGTATAAATGAAAAAACTGATCAAAAATGTTCCCGTAAACTTGCAACCATTAGTAAGTATATATTTATCCCGGACGTGCAAGTTTACCATTTGTTTATGACCACCCATCATCTCCAAATATCGTTTTCGAAGAGACTACTGGGATTTGTCGTCTTCTTATTATGACGTCAGAATTTGTATTATGAAATCACTTTTGAATAATAGTTTTTAAATTGGTATGAGTTTTTTCCCACATCGTTTGAAATCATGTCTTCGTATTAGGACGTCAGAATTTGTATTATGAGGTCATTTTTGAAGAATAATTTTTAAATTGGTTCAAGTTTCCCTCCTCATTATTTAAAAATGCATATATTCATATACATAGCGGTCGCAGATATATTATTTTACCAAGGTGCGGCTTGTGTCTGTTTATATGTGGACGAGAAACTAACTGGCTATGAATACTAATATATATTGCTAGTATAGTATAAAGATGGCGAACTACTTTTGTGATCCACAATGTGCTATCGATGACCCGCCAAGTCACGAATTAATGCAAAAATAATTCAGTAATAACATTCCATGATAAAACCGGCCTAATTTAATTCTAACAATAAGCGAAATACTGTAGTATATTTGCAAAACGCAGCTACTGGCGGTATTGGTGTTACAACGTATATCACGTGACAATACAATTTTCAATTTGCCCTGATTCAAGGGTTCCCCTTCATAGGAGCATGAACCAAAGGGATGGCAAAATGTTTTGGTGGACACGAAAACGATATGCTAATTTGGAATGCGTTATCGCTAAAAAACAACGAATTCGTGTTTTGACAAATGAATAACATCAAATCGGGTAGGCCTACCAGAAAGCGCACCAGTCCTGACATATGTTCCACATGTGTAAATGTAAAACTATACAATGGTACCTCATTGATACAGTAGATGTTGCATGTCGTATAAAAGTAATAAAAAAGTAATTGTCATGAAATAGATTATCATTGTTGCCATATATTTGTTCTCATCGTTAAAAAATAAATGGAAATTTGTAAAAAAAAAATTACCGAAAGTTTCTCTTATCATCGCCCCTATTTTCATGGGTTAGTGGTCAAGTTAGACAGCTGAATAAATCCTGTGGTCGGGAGAGCAGCTGTTGTGTACAAAATACGAGGGAGCCCAAGCTGCGTAACAGATTACCGTCTAGTGGCAAATAATCAGCCGTAGTAATGGCGATTAGTTGGCTGTTAGCTACCCATCAATCGATCGTAATCTAATTAAGAAGCCTCCTAGCATCCTGAAATGTATTTACTAAGTTTGTGGGATAAGTGGGGCTACGCCACACACTGTTTGAAACGAACAGAGAGTTAATTATGATTTTTATGTAGCTTGGATATTATTTTTGATATTATCCGGGGGAAAGATTATCCCGAAAGCTGGTAAAACGGCTTAATCATACAATTTAATCACGGCGTCTCGTCCGGTTACCAGTCTATATTGGATATCAATTTAGTTAGCCAGGTATTTGTTTTCAAATGCAAAGACTGGAGGAAGCGTCAATATCGACAGAATGATCGCCATATTAGTGTTATAAGGATCTGGTATTAGTATACGGGGGCGTAGAGGCGAATTTTCAAAAGGAGTGGGTTGGGGGGGTTGCTTTGTAGGGAACGTTATTATGGGTTTTCAAGAGTTTTGTGGTTCTAAAAGCATTTCAAGCTACGCGAAAAAACTACTATTTTTGATACCATTCTACTCTACATTTCTAAATTAGGAGGGAACCCTTTTCTTGACTAATGGGATTTACCTATACATTTATATATAAGGAAATAGTAAGCTTTCGAAGTTTTTCAATGCATTTTATGACTAATTGGCTCATTAAAAAGCGAGACCGTCTTGGGGTAACCACCGCATATTTTTCAAAGCAAAAATTGCAAGTTGTCATTATGTAGTAACCAACTTAGAAAGCCTATTACGTCACTTTGTTGTTAACTATTTTCTATTATTATATCACAAGGTGTTAAAGACACCACCTGAGCTCATACTGCTATCACAAAAAGCAGAGTGTCGACAAATAAAGCAACGATCCTGCAAATAAAGTTAGAGTTTATAAACGTGACTAAAACGCATGGTGATTTATTCAAATACCTTTTTGAAGTCGCTACAAAGAATCATTATCTGATATTTTGAAGGAATAAACTCATTAGGATTGATAACTCGTAGCATTAAGGTATCGGAATGTATGATCTACCAAATTACACTTTAATTGACTTCCGGATTTCTCGCCAAGACAGATAGTATTTAGGAAAATGGAGGACATTTATTGATATTGAGTTGACATAACGTCTTAAAACTTTTTCGGTAAGGTGAAATACCTTTATCAAATTACCACCCCCGCCCACGTTTGTATAGTTGACACACAGTGCTTCGATTAAAAACAGACACGATTGCTATCGAAACTCTGCAAATTGTAATCGTCTTTGTTTCAAATATGCCTCTGTACAAACTAAGTAGGAAATCTAATAATTAGGGCTGGTCGTTTAGAATCTAATATTCGAGTCGAATCGAATAGAAAATAATTCGAATCGGTTCTGACTCGAATCTCAAAACGCCATCTCGTTTTTTTCTACCCGCAGGTCGAATTGAATCCCTCATTTTTTTTATTCATATCAAATTTTTTTAAATGCAATTCTGTCTTTTTTCCTTCTAGTAATTTATTGGAGAAACATGTTACTTACTGTGTGTGAAGACTCAGCGAACTATCTGAGTGATAGGCAAACTGTTTTCACTAATTTATGTGTCTGAAAGACGCATTACAATAGAACAGTCAATACAACATTATATCTTTCAAGTATTCGAGATTCGATCGGATTCGAAAACAAATTTTCGTTTCGATTCTGAGGACCTACTAATATTATGATTTGTTTAAGGTTAACATATTTGAACAAACCGTATTTTCGCCATCTTCAGCTTGAACGTACGTAACTACGCAAGCTATTGAAACTCTCGAAAACTACTACCGGGGGTGCTAAACGACCTTGATTTACTCTACGATAACCTTGAGACTGGTTTATATATGTAAGTTGTGTTTGAAATTCAAATAAGGTTCGAGACAAGCAGCCTCTGTTAGGTAACCAGCTATCATATTTTAAAAAAGCCGGAACCTTTTCCCCCTCGGCATTATTTCCCCAATTTATAGCAACCTGGGCGAGAC